AGTCCCACCAGAGCTGACCCAAGTGGGTCTGTCTGCTTCCACTTGGACCTGACAATCTTTTCCCAGAACTGGTTTTCGTGGTATTTGTGTTCTGTGTTTCGTTTCCCTGGGCTTTTGTGTAAGAACGAGCTGTGTGTTTAAAGGAGTAAGAACAGGCCGATCAGCTCAGTATTTCCCATGCTGGCTGACAGTGTGTGTGTTGTTTTTTCCCTGGTCCCCAGATTTGGTGAATCCTTTGGCTCTCTTGACAGTCTTTTGCTCTGCAGCTTTCTCACAGCACCTTCAGTGCGCGTCGTACGCTTAGGAGTGTCCCCCCCCGCAGCAGTGATGGTCGTGGTGTTCATTCCGTCTGCATTTCAGCTCCCCCTTCGCAGGCATCCAGCATCCCCCTCTCTCACGGTGCAAATTTCTCACCCACTTTTCCGTTATTTTTTTTGTCTCCCCCACTCCCTGCAGCCCTGATAGTAGCTGAAGCGGGACGTAGCCAATGTCGTCCAGCAAAGGGGCGGGGGCTGGAGCTCGCCGGCGGCGGACGCGGTGCCGGAAGTGTAAAGCTTGCCTGCGGTCGGAGTGTGGGGAGTGCCACTTCTGCAAGGACATGAAGAAGTTTGGGGGGCCCGGGCGCATGAAGCAGTCGTGCCTCCAGAGGCAGTGCACGGCGGTAAGGGGGGAAGTCGGGCTGGGCGGGTGGATTTGGAGGGGAAAGTCGCTGTTCGTTTTGGTTCCCGGTTTCTAGTCCTCATTGTTGCAATCCCGTGAGGGCTGTTCCTGTTCAGGAAAGTCACCGATTAGCCCCTTTTTTCTAAGGGAACTTTCTTCGCCTGGTCCCTCATTCTCCCCAGATGATTACTGTTTCTTCCGGCTTGGCCAGCAACTCTCCCCTGACACGTCAACATGCTCAGGGTGAAGCAGGGAAACACGATAATATGAAAGCAAAGCAAAAATCAGTCCTTGTAGTGTAGATAGGTTTTAGGCAAGGTTCCCCCCCCCCCACAAGCTAGCTTTGCATGGGCTGTGATTTTTTTAAACATAGGAGACCATTCAAATGTGCAGTTTCCGCACCTTAAGGTGGAACACCTTGGCCATGAGTATGTCATCAGTGTTCCCTGACGGTTTGAGTTGGCTCCCTAATGATACCCATCGACAATGTTCCCTCTAAGCTCTGGAGTCTTGTGAGCAAAAATTCTACTTTGTGAGCGACTAGCATTAAAGTTGTGAGCAAGCGATTTGGCTGCTGCATAGATTAGCTTGCTCTGGAGCCATCCCTTCCTGAGCTAAGACAAAAGTATGTGAGCCAGAGGTTAAAAAACCGTGAGCTAGCTCACACTAACTCAGCTTAGAGGGAACAGTGCCCATCGACAGGGCTTTTTTGGTAGAAAAAGCCCAGCAGGAACTCATTAGCATAATAGGCCATACCCAACATCAGGAACTCATTAGCATATTAGGCCATACCCCCATGTTACCAGAAGTCTTGTCATCCAGCCACACCCACCTTTTGCTTCTTATTCTCTTTACCTTGTTTGTTGTCAAAACCCAGGGCTTTTTGCATGTTAGGCCACACACTTCTAATTGTAGCCAATCCGAATGAGTTTCTGCTGTTGGGTGTGGCCTATTATGCTAATGAGTTCCTGCTGGGCGTGGCCAATTTGGGAGCCTACCGGAACTCCGTTCCTGCCCAAAAATAGCCCTGCCCATTCACCATTGCCAGGCTCAAAGCCGAGTCACCTTTGCTCCATCCGGACGCAAGGCCCGCTTGTTGCCGGGAATTCTTCCACCCCCCACTTCTTCTCCCAGTTTGGAGAAGGGCTGCCAGCTGTCCGCATCCTATTGTTTAATTCCACTTTTTTTAACGGGATATTTTGTCTCTCATTTCCGAGTCCTTGGCATTCAGAGGGGAAGTGTGTATGGCTCATTTCCTGATGGGGCCACCCCGGAATCAGTGCCTTGATTCGCCTCCCCATCTCCACTGACCTGTGGCCCTTGCTCTGCGGGCAGGAATGGAGGGGTGTGGTGGCCTCAGCGGCCCTTGGACTTCTGGCCAGAAGCAGGGTATTGGGTCGCGATTAATCTCTGTAGGAATCTGTCATTTCTAAGGCATCTTTCAAGGATCCTTAGATGAGAAAGGTCATTAAAAGGACTCCATTTGGAGCCCTTGATCAGCACGCGGGCTATGGGTTCTGTCTTTGGAAATGTCTCCATCTAGCTGCTATCTCTCGGTACCCAGGAATCTCCGTGCTCACATCTTGATCCGCTGTCGTTGCAGCCAGTTCTACCTCACACAGCTGTGTGCCTGGTGTGTGGGGAGGCCGGAAAAGAAGACACAGTGGAGGGCGAAGAGGAGAAGTTCAACCTGTCGCTCATGGAGTGTACCATCTGCAACGAGATTGTGCATCCGGGCTGCTTAAAGGTAAGGTGGGGACAGGGAAGGAGGTGGGACAGGGGCAGAGGGAGTCAACCATACTGATTTTCCCCCCACACGCATAACCTGTGCTGACCCCTCTCTTTACAGATGGGAAGAGCCGAAGGAGTCATAAACAACGAGATTCCAAACTGTTGGGAATGTCCCAAGTGCAAGAGAGAAGGCAAATCGATGAAAGTACGTGTTTTGGGCTTTTAGGAGTGGTGGGTGGGTAGGTGGGAGGGGTGGTATTGGGATTTGGGAAATATTCGGGAAACCTGAATTTTTCCGGCTCCATTATACCCTATGGGGACCATTATAGTTAATGGTCCCCATAGGGTATAATGGAGGATCAATCTGGGGGGTATCTGGGGCTCGGGGGGGGCTGTTTTTTGAAGTAGAGCCCCCAAATTTGCAGCATAGCTACTGATGCCTCTCCTCAAAACAAACCCAAGTTTAGAAAAGATTGGACCAGGAGGTCCAATTCTATAGGCCCCCAAAGAAGGTGCCCCCATCCTCCATTGCTTTCAATGGAGGGGGAAGGGGATTTAAAGGGATTGCAGTCTGGCTTATTTTTCAGTTGTCTGAAATGGCCAGTCCCTGAAAATCCTGAAAATATTTGAGATTTTTGGGACTGCTGGATAGTTAAAGGTGTTTAAAGGGATTGCAGTCCCTTTAAATGCCTTCTCCAAGCCATGTGACTCTGCAGCAAGAGTCTGAAGGTGTTTAAAGGGCTTACCTTTAAAGCCCTATATGGCCAGGGACCGGCCTACCTGAGGGACCGCCTTTCCCCACATGTTCCCCCAAGGGCACTACGGTCGGGGAATCAAAACCTCCTGGACGTTCCAGGCCCCAAGTCCATCAAATTTGTGATGACCAGGGCTAGGTCGTTTTCAGTGGCGGCTCCTATCTGGTGGAATGAGCTCCCAGAGGAGATCCGGGCCCTGCGGGACCTTGTATAGTTCCGCAGGGCCTGTAAGACGTAGCTCTTCCGCCAGGCTTTCGAATAGGAGCCGCCGCCACTACCTTTCCATCATCGCCCTATAATTCGCATACATTACCATCATTGGTGCGGGTACTACCGGAGGACGCTGGATGTGCCTAGGGACAACAGTAGAGATATGCACTGCTGTGAGTAGCTATACCATCGAGAACACCATCTTGATTTTAAAATTCGGAAGTTAGTAGGGAGCACCGAAATGTTTTTATGAATTTTTGCGTAACTATTTAATATTTAATGTAATTTGTATTGTTCGTATTTTATACTGTTTTATTCTTATCTGGCGTTATGTCTCTGTAAGCCGCCCTGAGCCTGCGGGGAGGGCGGGATAGAAATCCAAATAAATAAATAAATAAACACAATCTCCAAGCATCAAGTTCACCCAGAAGGTTTTAAAGGGACTGTGAGCCCTTTAAACACCTTCAGAGTTCACTCGCCATAGAGATTCAGGGCTTGGAGAAGGCATTTAGGGACTGCGATCCCTTTAAATGCCTTTAAGTTCAACTATCCAGCCGTCTCAAAAATCCAGTATTTTCAGTATTTTCAGGGACTGGCCATGGATCTTAGCCGAAAAATAAGCCAGATCTAAATCCAGCTGAAAGAATATCGGTAAAATACCAATAAGGTATTTTTCAGATATCTTTTTTGTTCAGATTTAGCCAGACGCAAACCCTAGTAGGTGGTTCATCATGGCAATAAACAGGCTGAAGGCCCTTTGCTCTTCAGCCTTGCACAGAAACCTGTGGGCTCACGCACACCAAGGTGCGCCTATGGTTTCAGAAAAGCCCTTCGGGAAGCTGAAGTCCCGAGTTCCCAGGTGGAATGCTTCTGCTTTGAGGCATCATGCAAACAAACTGCCAACTGTGTGCTTGGCCAGCTGTTGTAAGGATGGCGCAACCTGCTCTCTTGGCGAGTGCATGACCCCAAATATGGGGGTGGTGGTGTTATCCCTGTTCTCTCCTGCAGTCCCCCTGTTTTCCCTTACCCGGGCCCACTTCCCGTTTTAGAACCTGGCAGCTGGGGAGGAAAGCAGTCTGGGAGAAGAGGGCATTTGCAGGGGACGGGGAAAGGTTCTCTTACCCATCCCTGCAGCAACATTACAAATAACATACCGGCTTGGGAAGACCGAAAGTTCGTTGTAACATGTCACTCCACCCGAAGAGGCGCTGTTATCTGACTTGCCATCTACCATCTTGCAAACCCTGCTCAATTACTCCATACTCAGAGGAAAATATTATTTTAATTAACACGTTACACGATCTTGAGTGGCCGTTCAGGAATCGCATCGGCTCATGCCCGGGGCAGCCTTCCTTCTCCGCCTGTTCAAGTCGCCGTCTGGCTGTCGCATCTGTTGCCAAAAAGAAGTGGCTAATGGGTTCCTCTGTTTGGCCCCTCCACAGTCAGTGGTGGCCCCCGTAGTAGGCGGGGTCCGAGGGGGAGCCTACCACGCAGGACCCAACCCTGCCCGCTCAGTCCACTTGCGCACTGTGCAACGACGGGTGTGCGGCACCCTCACCGCCCTCCCGCCCGCCGTCCTTGTGCTTTCAGGACTCAAGCGACGGCACGGGGAAGCGGCGGTCCGACAACGGTGAGGAGGGGGTCCGGTGGAAGCTGACGGACGAACCTGCTCAGAACAAGAAGAAGTTGGCTCCGGCCCCACCTCTTCCCCCACCGCCCACCGAGGAGACCCAAGTCCAAGCTGGAGTCCACAAGCGCAAGAAGGAGAAGGAGCTGCCGCCCCCTGACACGGGGCCCAAGAAAAAGGTGAGCGCCTCTTCTGGAAAAGCACTTTTGTGCCATTAACCAAGCAGGGGCGGCATCTCTCTCCTTCATGTCCAACACCCGACATCCCTCCTTTTCCTATGGCACCCCGGTGTCCCAGTTCCTGCCTTGGGACCCCTCCACTTTTCACCCGTGTTAGGACCTAGGGCTACCCGATGCTAGTTCTTCCGTTACGTTACCCTCTCTCCTTGGCACTGAGGGTGGAACCCAGCAGTCCTGGCTCCTTGACTCCCATGCTTTACAAGGGAAGGGGGTTCCCAACGTGGCGCCGGCCGACACCTTTTCCTGGTGATCTTCCAAGAGTTCGTAGCAAGTGGGAAGAGCCTGATGGGGCCGTTGCTCAGCAAGGCTTGTGATTGGCTGTCGGAGGTTTGATTGGCTGGGCAGGGGTTTCAAAGCATTGCCTCGGCGGCAGCTGCCACCACAGCACAAGGATCTTCACTGCGAGACCGGAGGTAATCTGCAGCCGCCGTTGGGTGGTGGCCCCCACCTCCTGAGGTGGCCATTGGGTGGCAGGCCACCTCCACCGTCGTGTGTCAGAATTCTGAAGGTGTCCGTGGGCTCCTTGAAGGTTGGGGAGGACCCCTGCCCTACGGCATCAGACCCTCCTTCTTTCAGAGCTGGGGACTATACGTCAGTAAGACACCCAGACTCAGGGTCCACGTAGACCAGAGGTTCCCAAACTTATTTGGCCTACTGCCCCCTTTTCAAGAAAAAAAAAATTACTCAGTGCCCCCCTGGAAATCTTCCTTCAAGAAGTGGACAAAAAGACGCAGTGAGAGATTTGCACACAGTAAAGAAAGATGTTGTTGTAAATAAGACACTTTGAAGCGCAACATCATAAAAGTGTTTTATAAAATCAACCATAGTAGCATTTGCATACACAAAGACAATTAAGATAAAGAAGGCTGTGATTGGCTGTGGGGACCCCTCTCCACCTCCACCTCCCTCCCTGATCCCAGGGAAGACCAGGAAGAGGCTGCTTTAAATCGGTCCTGGACTCTTCTTTCTTTATGCTTCCAGCACCCCCTTATTTTTATTCAACGCCCCCCCCCAAATTGCACCCAAGGCTCCTACCGCCCACCGGTATCATTCCAGTGCCCCCCAGGGGGCAGTATTGCCCACGTTGGGAACCAGTGATGTAGACCATCATCCATTTCCCCCACAGCAACCAACCCGATGCCCCAAACAACCCATAAGCCGAGGTCCAGGTCTAAAGGGTCCCACCCTGTTGGGGTTCCCTAGTTCCCTAGGCAGGCCAGAGATCATATTAACATAACTGTTGCCGGCATCCCTAGTGTATCAGTTTACAATCAGCTAGCACTTTACGATATCGGACTGTTTCTAGATGGTTTTATTTATGTTATAATCGTTCTTCTGTTTTATCCTTTGTAAGCCGCCTTGAGCCTGCTTCAGCGGGGAGGGCAGGGTATAAATCAAATCAATAAATCATTAATATTCAGGGGGGGCTGCCTCTGGACGTGAGGGCACCCCTTAGCCACCATGGGTAACAGTCTCGTCCCCTTTTAAAGGCATCGAAGCCACTGCTTGTCACGGCGTCCTGCGGCAGGGAGTTCCACCAGCATGGCGTAGCGGTCAGCAAATCAGACGAGGATCTGGCAGGCCCAGGTTCGAATCCCCACTCTGCCGTGGAGGTTTGTCGGGTGACCTGGAGCCAGCCACGCATCCTCGGCCAAACCTCCTCCTCCGGGTCATCAGGAGGATAAAATGGAGGCGAGGGGAGCCACGTAAAGCCCCTTTGAGTCCTCGCTGGGGGAGGGGGGGTATAACGGAAGTGAACGAATCAGTGAACCGAGCATTGTGTAAAGAAGTGTGTTTTTTATGCTTTCTGAATTACTGGCCATCAAATTCACCAGGTGATCCCAGATTCTAATATAATCTAATCCTTCTCCCCCTTCTCAAAATAGGGAAAGGGGGAACTTCTTCTCCCCCTCCTCCTTTCCCCACCCAATAGTAAAAGGTAAAGGTTCCCTTGCTCGAAAGCCAGTCGAGTCCGACTCTAGGGTTGCGGTGCTCATCTCCGTTTCCAAGCCGAAGAGCCAGCGCTGTCCGAAGACGTTTCCGTGGTCATGTGGCCGGCATGACTACACACCAAGGTGCACGGAACGCTGTTACCTTCCCACCAAAGTGGTCCCTATTTATCTACTTGCAATTTCTTGCTTTCGAACTGCTAGGTTAGCAGGAGCTGGAACTAGAGACGGGAGCTCACTCCATCATGCGGCACAATCGGGTCTCGAACTGCTGAACTACTGACCTTCCACAGCCTGCAGTTCAGCGTCTTAACCACTTGAGCCACCGCACCCCACCCAATACATTTCTATTTAAATTCATTTCCTGTCTGCTGCCCTGCCCCGCCCCCCCCAATTGTGGCTCTGAATTCATTGTGACGCGGAAGAGGATGATGGTTTGCTCATGGCTTTGGCCGAAGATGTCCTCTCCTCTCTTCCCACTCGTGGCTCTCCTCGCCGCCTTCTCTCCTAGAGTTCAGGAGGGAACTCCTAAGGCCCTTCGAAAGGGGTTAGAGAAAAGACCTGAAGGTTTCTGCTAAACATTAGGAAGAACTTCCTGACAGTTATCTAGAGTGGTTCCTTGGTGGAACAGGCTTCCTCGAAGGGGTGGTCGGCTCTCCTCCTTTGGAGGTTTTCAGACAGAGGCTAGATGTCCATCTGTCAGCAATGCGGATTCTGCGAACTTAGGCAGATCATGAGAGGGAGGGCTGCCGCAGTGCTTAGTTCTTGTGGCCCTTTCTTACACGCCCAGGGAAATGGTGATCGCCAGTTTGGGTTCAGGAAGCAATCCTGGAGGTTTTTTGTCATCTTCTGGGCGTGGAACAGCGGTCACTGCGGGTGTGGAGGGGGAAGTATTTGTGAGTTTCCTGCATCGTGCAGGGGGTTGGACTAGATGACCCTGGAGGTCCCTTCCAACTCTATGATTCCTTAGCTCCCAGGATCCTTCTAATGAGACACGCTGGCTTAACAGTTCCACCAAGCTTCTCCTTTGTTTTTTTCTCTTTCAGTTAAAAGGCACACGGGAAAAGCATTTGAAAAAGGTGAGCCCATTAGGTATTTCCACCCAGCTGGCTTTTTTTTGGGGGGGGGGGAGTGGCCATCAGTCGGGGAGACAGGTCTTGGGCAGCCACTAGAGGAAAGGGGGCAGGAATTGGGCGGAGCGGTCGGCTCGAGTTGCTTTATCCTGCCGCAGACCAATGTTCCCTCTAAGCTGTGGAGTCTTGTGAGCAAAAATTCTACTTCATGAGCTACTGGCATTAAAGTTGTGAGTGAGCGACTGGGCTGCTGCATAAATTAGTTTGCTCTGGAGCCCTCCTCCCTGAGCGAAGACAAAAATGTGTGAGCTGGAGGCTAAAGAACTGTGAGCTAACTCACACTAACTCAGCCGCAGACACGTGAAGCTCCGTCATGCGGACCATCACCTTTGTCCAGCCTGTCCGTTGGAATCTTCGCCAAACAGGCAGCAGCTTGCTTTGATCTCGGGCGAAGACATTTCTTTCCCAGCAGCCTACTATTGCCAGGGATCAAACCCGGGACCCTTGGGTACAGGAGACCTCTGCTTGACTGTCGAGCCGTGGCCCTTCCCTAGTTTATGAATGTCGATAAGTGCCGTCAAGTCGCAGCTGACTTATGGGGGGCCCCCCCAGCAAGGGGCTTTCAAGGCAAGTGAGAAGCAGAGGTGGGCTGCCATCGCCTCCCTCTGCACAGCCTTCCGTGGTGGCCCCCCATCCAAGTACTGACCAGTGCTCCCTCTGAGCTGTGGAGTCTTGTGAGCAAAAATCCTACTTTGTGAGCTACGGGCATTAGAGTTGTGAGCGAGCCATTTGGCTACGGCATCAATTAGTTGGCTCTGGAGCAATGCTCCCTCTAAGCTGTGGAGTCTTGTGAGCAAAAATCCTACGTTGTGAGTTACTGGCATTAGAGTTGTGAGCGAGCCATTTGGCTACTGCATCAATTAGTCGGCTCTGGAGCAATGCTCCCTCTAAGCTGTGGAGTCTTGTGAGCAAAAATCCTATGTTGTGAGTTACTGGCATTACAGTTGTGAGCGAGCCATTTGGCTACTGCATCAATTAGTCGGTTCTGGAGCAATGCTCCCTCTAAGCTGTGGAGTCTTGTGAGCAAAAATTCTATGTTGTGAGTTACTGGCATCAAAGTCGTGAGCAAGCAATCTGGCTACTGCATAAATCAGTTTGCTCTGGGCCCTCCTTCCTGAGCTAAGACAGAAATGTGTGATCCGGAGGCTAAAAAACTGTGAGCTGGCTCGCACGAACTCAGCTTAGAGGGAACATTGCTCTGGAGCCCTCCTTCCTGAGCTGAGACAAAAACGTGTGAGCCGGAGGCTAAAAAACTGTGAGCTAGCTCACACTAACTCAGCTTAGAGGGCACACTGGTCCTGACCCTGCTTAGCTTCTGAGATCGGAGAAGATCAGGCCATAACCTGCTGCCTCCCCACCCCGCTCAGGAGCTCATCCTGGACTGCCTCAGGGCTTGTCATCCCCAGTGTGGCTCATAAGCTCACCCTAAACGGGATGGGCTTGCATGGCTTTAACCAGCACAGAGTTTGTGAGAAACTTGGTGGCTGTGCAGAATCTTGAGCATCTCTTGGGCCTGGTTGGACAAGGGCACTCCTAGGCGGGCACGGCAGAGGCAGGTCCCGTCCAATGAAACGCTCCTCCCTCTCTGTCGCGTAGAAAAAAGCTCCCCCCCTGTAGGAAGTGGACTTGCCCTTCTGTGCCGTTGCCCCAGTCAGGCTTTTGTTTCTCCTTCCAGGCCACCGAGCAGCCCTCCGACGGGAACAAGTTGCAATCGATGCAGACCTGGAGTCGCACGGGCAGCGGGGACTTTGAGGTGAAGGGCCCCATCTCCCACCCATCCATCCACCTGAACCAGATCACGGCCAGCGACTTGGAGGTGAGGGGGATGCGTGTGTGAGAGAAAGGGGAGGACGGTTTCAGTTTGGAAATGAGACCGCTAAGGGAGATGGGCCGTGATTGAGGTTTATAAAATGGTGCACGGGATAGAGAGAGTGGACGGGGGGGGCTTTTTCTCCCTCTCCCAAAATACTAGAACTCAAGGGCATCCAACAACGCTGATGGGCAGTAGGTTCAGGACGGACCAAAGGAAATACTTCTCAACACAGAGAGGGATTGAAATGTGGAATTCACTGCCCGAGGGTGTAGTGAGGGCCACAGGCATTAGAAGAAGAAGAAGAGATTGGATTTATACCCCGCCCTTCACTTGGAGTCTCAGAGCGGCTTACAAACTCCTTTCCCTTCTGCTCCCCACAACAGACACCCTGTGAGGTGGGTGGGGCTGAGAGAGCTCTGACACAAACGGCTCTTTTTCAAGGACAGCTGTGCCAGAGCTTGTGACTGACCCAAGGTCACATCAGCAGGTTCAAGTGGAGGAGTGGGGAATCAAACCCGGTTCTCCCAGATTAGAGTCCGCGCACTTAACCACTACACCAAACTGGCAGCTTTAAGGGGATTAGGCAGGTTCATGGAGAGGTTTGTCAGTGGCTGCTTGCCACGGTGACTAAAGGGAGCCTCCACATCTGGAGCAGTAAACCTGAGCCGGGAGGCAGCCTCACCAGAAGGCCTCGGCCTCTGTGCCCTGTTGTTGGCCCTCCAGAAGATCTGGCTGGCCGCTGTGGGAGACCGGAGGCTGGACTAGACGGACCCCTGGTCTGATCCAGCGGGGCCCTGGCCATGTTCTTGGGCCGGAGGTCAGCCATGGCCTTGCAGAGAGAGGGGTCAGCAGTCAGGACAGGCATTGATGGGGTGCGGCGGGCAGCATCTGGGCCATCGAGGAACGGAAGATGTGCGCTCGTTTTTGGAAAAGATGGATGGGGGTTCTCTGTCTGACAAATTCGCAGCACCCTCACGGGATTGCCATCCCCCAAGTCCTTGGTGAGAAGCCACCGAAAACCTGTTTCAAACTGGTTTCTGCCAGGCGTGGGAGTGCCCTTAAACGTCAAGCGATTTCACCTTGGCCACCAGGTGGGGCTATCCTCATACCATATGGAATGCACCGGCCACTTCTCAGAGTCAGGGAGTATGGAGGTATTCTGATTTTCACAGCAGGGAATCCCATGGCTTTGGGATCCTTTTGAGTTGCAGCTTCTCCTGTCGCAAAGTATAGGCTTGGCTGCTACAAGATACATGCAGAGGACTCATGGGGTGGGCCAGTTTGTTGAGAGCCAGTCTGGTGTTGTGGTTAGGAGCGCAGACTCTAATCTGGGAGAACCAGGTTTGATTCCCCACTCCTCCATGTGCAGCTGCTGGTGCGACTTTGGGTCAGTCACAAGTTCTCTCAGAGCTGTTCTGTCAAGGGCAGTTCTCGAGAGAAGTCTCTCAGCCCCCCCCTACTTCACAGGGTGTCTGTTGTGGGGATTGGAAGGGAAAGGAGACTGTAAGCCGCTCTGAGACTCCTTCAGGTAGTGAAGGGCGGGGTATAAATCCAATCTCTTCTTCGTCTTCTTTGTTGCCCGCCCCCCCCCACCTCCCATGGCAATGAATGGAGCCTGCTGAAACTCTGTTTCTGGAGTCAGGACACCCACATGTACACCGCGGGAGAAAAAAGCGGGTGCTTGCACAAGGAGCGGGAATCAGCAAAATGTTCCTCCCCCAGTACAGTGACCGAAATGGAGTCTCAGGGACCCCACCGTCAGGTCTAAGTCATTGAAACCCTGCCTACATCAGTGCGTGGCCCCACTTTCCTTGGCCACCAGTTTTATAAAGCCACGTGCTGCTTTTGGGAAAAACTCAGACATAGATATCAGTCAGTTTCCAGGCAAATGGTAGTCTGTAGCGGAGGGTTAACTACAAAAGGAATCCTTTATTCTGTGGGTCTTTGCAGTCCCACTTTGGACCAAGCCAATGCGGCACAGGTATGACGACGCTTCCTTCCTTTCCCCACCAGAAACCGAAGGTTCCTCCCGGCCCCTTGGAGCCCTCTGCCCAGTCGGACAAGTCCCACCAGCGCGAGAAGCTGGAGCGTTTCAAGCAGATGTGCCAGATGTTGGAGCGGGTGAAGAACAGCAGCAGCTCGAGCTCCAGTTCGGACTCTGACTCCGACACGGACTCCCGGGGCTCCGACGGCTCCAGCGGGGGCGTCGCGAGCCGTGCCGCGTCTCCGGCCACCCGCTCCCAGCGCCTGGCAGCCCTGGGCTTCAGCGCCAGTGAGGAAGAGGACGAGGAGGAGGAGGAAGAGGAGGAGGAGGAAGAGGAGGGGGGCGGGAGACGCAACGGCAGCTCGGAGACGGCGCGTAACGGCAAGCAGCCAAAAGCGCGCGGGAACTCTCAGGAGAAAGAGAACAATCACCGTCCGTCCAGCAGGGGGAGCGAGCGAGGCAAGCAGCAGGCGGGCGGCCGCAAGGCGGGCCGGCCTGCCGGGCAGACAGGACTCCGCATGGTGGCCCGGACTCAGTTCCTCAACTGGCCCCTGGTGCCCTCCCCTCCCAAGCCTCTGCTACAGCTGGAGAGGCACGTGGTCCGACCTCCCCCCGACAGCCCCGAGCCCGACTCCTTGCCCCTGGATAGCGGCTCCGACCACATCATGCAGCGGGATGTTTGGTTGGCCGTCTTCCAATACCTCAGCTATCGGGAGCTGTGCGTCTGCATGAGGGTATGCCGGACATGGAGCCGTTGGTGAGTGGCCGCGTTTGCCCGAGGAGAGATGAGCCAGTGCCCCAGAGAAGCACAAAGGGGGCACTGTTGGCGAGGTATCCGGGGCTCTGTGAATGGGGGCAGGGGGGGGGGGGGGATGAGCCCGTCTCCGTTCGCACTCTTGTGACGCACAGCTCTGGTCTTTCCTCTGGTCTGAGCTGTCCAGAGCGGTCCAGGCGGGAGCCGCGTGTGTCCCACAGTTCCGCAGTCACTTTGCTCTCCACTTTGAACCAGTGGCAAAGATCTGCAAAGCCTGTGAGCGGAGACCGTAAAGAGGCGGACGAAGGGAGCGTTCGCACCACGAGCGAGGATGGTTACAGTAGTTCCACCCACAGGCCTGTCATTAGGACAGGGGCTTTGAGTGCGGCAGGAGGATTTGCGTATCACATGGACCCTTGAGGTGTGGAAGGGTGTCTCTGTGCGCTCTCTGAGAGATGCTTTCCCAGCGCACGTGTGCAGTCTGTGTCAGGGCAGGCCGGCCCAGCTGATGTTGGAAACAGGTTTTTTTGGTACTCTGCTTCACTCTGTTGCTGTTCACTGATAAGGGGGGGAAAGGGGTCACCGTGGGGTGTGGCTCTAAACTTGCATCTGGTGGCTGCAGCCAGTGAGAAGCAAGCTTGCTCTGATAGCCTGCCTTTTCATAGCCCGCCTTTTCATAGGCGCTTGTCTTTTGATCACACCAGAGTGTGACGGAATGCTGGGAACTGCCTTTGAGGTGAACTGTTAACCCGCGGGGCCCTGCGGAATGACCGAAGAGGAGCTTTCCTACCTGTGTTTTGATGCTGGGAGGGGGACCGCAAAGTTCAAAGAGCAAAGGCCAACAAAGGAAGTGTGTGAATCAGTGGAGTCGATTGCATCTGTTGCGTTGGGAAACGGGGGCTAATTGTGACACCTTCAGACTCCCTCGGTCTTGAGGTGAGGCTTCATGTGTCCCCGTACTTCTATATAGGTGGTGTGAGAATCATGGCGTAGAGATCTGAGGCTGGCACACATTTTTTCCAGTTTTTGTCAGGCTGGCACACATGTGCCAGACGGGCTGCATTACATTCCTGCCTGTGGCTGCTGCCGTCTCTTATTGGGCTCGCCATACGTACTGGGGGACTTCCGGTGTATCTTTCAGAAGAGACACGCTGCCATCCACAGGGTTGTATCTCATTACACTCAACAGCTCTCTGCTTGGAGGCAACTCCCATGGGTGGACTTTTTTTTGGGGGGGGGTTGTATTTTTCGTATGTGCATGTGTGAGTGTCCATGCACCCAGATGTCATGGCGACCTCTGCTGACCAATATTCCCTCTAAGCTGTGGAGTCTTGTGAGCAAAAATCCTACTTTGTGAGCTACTGGCATTAAAGTTGTGAGCGAACAATTTGGCTGCTGCATAAATTAGCTTGCTCTGGAGCCCTCCTTCCTGCACTAAGACAAAAATGTGTGAGCCGGAGGCTAAAAAACTGTGAGCTAGCTCACACTAACTTGGCTTAGAGGGAACACTGCTGCTGACTGACCCCTACTGGGGGCCTGGAGGATATTCAGAGAGGTGGCTGAATAAAGCCTGCCCCTGCCTCCCGACTGCTGGTATTCCAAGGAGGTCTCCCATCCAAGCACTTGCCAGAGCCGACCCTGCTTAATTTCTGAGATCTGGCTTCCCTGGGCACGGGTGGACATTTTAAAGCGGACTGCGTGGTTCAGCCACTTTTCTTCTGGCTGGCTGGCAACATTTTTTTTTCCTGCTTACCACTTCCCTTGTGCGGCTTCCTCTTGGTCTCAGCAAGTCTCTCAGGAAACAGCTGCCCCCAGGGGGGTGCCGGCTCTCTCCCCCTCCCAGGAAACCTCTGATTATCTGAGGCTGTGTCGACACTGCTGCCTTCCTGCAGCAAATCAGCCCTGGTTCCAACAAAGCGTTGGCAGGGAGGAAAGGTCTTCCCCCGTGCGACCGTTCGGGCACCCGGCACCTCGTTCAGCTGGGGCCCCTTGGCCACTCTGCAGGCAGATTCTTCACAAGCCAGAGATCCGTAGCCCTGGCAGGCCTTGTGCTGGCTGGCTAATTCTAATCTGCACACGCGCCGTTTAGGCCAGGCGCCGGGTGTGCAGAAGATCAGCGGGCCACGATTCTCAGCTGACAGCATCGCATTTAGATCGGGCTTCCTTGTAGAGCTGGGGTCTGCTCCTTCCTGCCAGCTCCTCAGGATCCCTCTCTGGTCAGTCCCCCGTAGAGGTCTTCGCCCCTCCCCCCAGGCAGGGCTTTTTCTTTTTTTTAAAGAGGTACCGGAACTCCCAAGAGGGAAATGACGTTTCCCATCTGTATACTACTAAAGGTAAAGGTTCCCTCGCTCGAAAGCCAGTCGAGTCCGAGTCTAGGGTTGCGGTGCTCCTCTCCGTTTCCAAGCCGAAGAGCCAGCGCTGTCCGAAGACATTTCCGTGGTCATGTGGCCGGCATGACTAAACACCAAGGCGCACCGAACGCTGTTCCCTTCCCACCGAAGTGGTCCCTATTTATCTACTTGCAATTCCTTGCTTTCGAACTGCTAGGTTGGCAGGAGCTGGAACTAGAGACGGGAGCTCACTCCGTCATGCGGCACACTCGGGTCTCGAACTGCCGAACGAACGACCTTCCACAGCCTGCAGTTCACCGCCTCAACCACTTGAGCCACCGCAGCTCCTTCTGTATACTGAAAACTCATAAAAAGCATGCATTTTTGTCTTGGAGTCCCCCTTCAGAGAATGCCTATGTGTGTGGGAGGGGGAACATTACATGGGTGGCTACATTGGTGGCGACGGGAAGTGCCGGCAGGTCACAGCCTGTATGACGACCCTGTGGGGTTTTCAAGGGAAGAGACGGTCAGAGGTGGGTTTGACCGCTGCCTGCCTCTGCGTAGCAGCCCTGGGCTCCCTGGGGGGTCTCCCATCCAAGTCCTAACCGGGGCTGGCCCCTGCGTAGCTTCCGAGGTCCGACAGGGTCTGGGCCATCCGGGCCAAGGGCAGCATTATATTGGTTTCTGGAAATGATTTGGGGGAGATGGCGGTTGTGTAACAGGAGACTGTACCCGGCCCTTATGTGGCAAATAAGCAGGGCTATTTTGGGGCAGGAACACACAGGAACAGAGTTCCGGCTGGCTCCCAAGTTGGCCACGCCCAGCAGGAACTCATTAGCATAACAGGCCACACCCAACAGCAGAGACTCATTAGCATTGGCTACATTAGAGGTGTGTGGCCTAACATGCAAAGGGGTTCCTGCTACAAAAAAGCCCTGGGTTTTGACAACAAACAAGGTCAACAGAATAACAAGCAAAAGGTGGGTGTGGCTGGATGACCACACTTCTGGTAACATGGGGGTGCGGCCTAATGTGGTAATGAGCTGTGCTGTCAGGGGTGTGGCCCAATATGCTAATGAGTTCCTGCTGTTGGGTGTGGCCTATTATGCTAATGAGTTCCTGCTGGGCTTTTTCTACAAAAAGAGCCCTGGGCAGCATTATATTGGTTTCTGGAAATGATTTGGGGGAGATGGCGGTTGTGTAACAGGAGACTGTACCCGGCCCTTATGTGGCAAATAAGTATACGAAAAGTCGCTAATGCTGATTGCTGCTGGGCTTGAAAAACCTTTTTGATGAACACCTGGGAAAATGTCCTCTTCTTCCACCACATCCTTCCTGGCATTTCCGTTTCTTATTCCCTGGTGTTAATTTTAGTTTTTCAAGGATACGTGACCATTGTAGAATTGGCTTCAGCTCGCTCCATAATTTTTAGCTGGTTAGTCTGTCTTTGGTTAACAAGCTAACAAGACAGCGTGGGAGGGAAATTGTCTTAATGTCTATCAAACAGCTGTCGGTGCCTCTTCTGAGGTATCTGATAAGCACGAGGCAATTTTCAGCTTTAATCAATATAATCTTCTGTTCCATTCTCTTACAGCAGCTCATCAAAACCTTTAAAAACGTAAGGAAGTACACTTTGAGCCCTTGGCCCGTGGTGTTAAAATGTGTCTCTGCTTCTTAATTGACTTAAAGCAGCTACGTTCAAGGTTTCTATTACGAGGCAGCCCTGCACAGACTCTAATCTGGGAGAACCGGGTTTGATTCCCTACTCCTTCACTTGCAGCTGCTGGATGACCTTGGGCAAGCCATGGTTCTGTCAGAGCTTTCCTATCAAGAGCAGTTCTCGAAAGAGCTCTCTCAGCCCCATCTACCTCACAGGGTGTCTGTTGTAGGGAGGGGAAGGGAAACGAGTTTGTAAGTCGCTCCCTGAGACTCCAAGTGAAGGGCGGGGTATAAATCTAATCTCCTCCTCCTCCTCCTCCTCCTCCGCTTCTTCTTCTTCCACGTCAACTTGCAGGTACGGGTGTGCGTTTGGCTAAGTCCAAGCTGAAAAAAATCTGAAAAATACCTTATTGGTATTTTCCGGATATTTTCAGCTGGATAGCGATTTGGACATATTTCAGCTATCTGAAATGTCCAGTCCTCGAAAATTCCAGAAATATTGGGGATTTTTGGGACCGCCAGATAGCTGAAATTAAAGGGCTTTAAGAAGATGTTTAAAGGGATTGTGGTCTCTTTAAATGCCTTCCAGGTGAACTCATCCCATGGAGAAGGTGTTCAGAGGAACTGCAGTCCCTTTAAACGCCTTAGGAGTTGCACCGCTTGCCCAGCTTGGAGAAGGCATTTAAAGGGACCGCAGTCCCTTTAAACACCTTTCCCTCCCTTCATTGGTTTCAGTGGAGGATGGGGACACCTTCTTTGGGGGCCCATAAAATTGGACCACCTGGTCCAATCTTTTTGAAACTTGGGTTGTTGTTTTTTTGAAGAGAGGGACCAGCAGCTATGCTGCAGATTTGGTGCCTCTACCTCAATAAACACCCCCCTCAGAGCCGCACATATCCCAGGATTGATTCTCCTTTATACCCTATGGGAACCATAGTCCCCATAGGGTATAATGGAGCTGAAAAACATGGGGATCCTGGATATTTACTGAACCCAAATATCATACTGGTATTGGGGTTCAGGAAAATTTGGAAATGCCAATATTTTTTGGGTTCAGTATACCCAAACCCCCAAAATACCATCGTTGGCTTTTTTGCACACCTCTACTTGCAGGCCACAGAAACTCTGCATTCCCACCATGAAATTCCTGTAAAGTCATGTTCTAGGGCAGTGGTGGCGAACCTATGGCACGGGTGCCAGAGGTGGCACTCAGAGCCCTCTCTGTGGGCACGCGTGCCATCGCCCCAGCCAGGCCCAGACCATCATTAAAGTGTCGAATTCTCTGCCAAATAATTTTAAGTAAATGAAAGCATTTGGGATTGCTTTCCTTACTTTGTTTGGATCATCTTAAATTAATGTATGAGTTGTTTTTTCTAAACGACAACCTCAGTATTCAGGTTAAATTGCCGTGTTGGCACTTTGCGATAAATAAGTGGGTTTTGGGTCGCAGTTTGGGCACTCGGTCTCTAAAAGGTTCGCCATCACCGTTCTAGGGCGAACACAGTTGGGCCTCCTATGTGAACTAAGAACTGCATTAAAGTGGAGGATATTTTTGGGCTCTAATGCCCATGCCGGAAGAGAATGTGGGGCAGAGTGAGAGAAAGTGGGCTCTTCCCTTCACCCATCTCAAGCAACACAACAGGCTGTTCTTTGCTCCATTGAGGGAATGGTCTGAACGTTGCCCGAATTTTCGCCAGCATAGCCAATGGCAGCTCTAGGAGAACGTTCGAGGGCCAGACAAACTTGAGATATACATTCGTTAAAAATTCGTGAAATGCAAAAATGAGCCAGGAGGAGCTCTAAAACCAATGGGATGGGAGAGGAGAGTGGCATGTGGGGAGAAGTGCACTGAGCAATGCTCCCTCTCAGCTCTGGAGCCTTGTGAGCAAAAATCCTACTTTGTGAGCTCCTGGCATTAAAGTTGTGAGCGAGCGATTTGGCTACTGCATAAATTAGTCGTCTCTGGAGCCCCATCCCTCCTGAGCTAAGACAAAAAAGGAGCCAGTTTGGTGTGGTGGTTAAGTGCGCGGACTCTAATCTGGGAGAACCGGGTTTGATTCCCCACTCCTCCACTTGCACCTGGCTGGATGACCTTGGGCAAGCTATAACTCTGGTACAGCTGTTCTTGAAAAAGAGCAGTTTCTGTCAAGAGCTCTCTCAGCCCCACCTACCTCACAGGGTGTCTGTTGGGAGGGGAAAGGAAAGGAGTTTGTAAGCCGCTCTGAGACACCTTTGGGTAGTGAAGGGCGGGGTATAAATCCAATCTCCTCCTCCTCCACAAAAATGTGTGAGCCGGAGGCTAAAAAACTGTGAGCTAGCTCACACTCACTCAGCTTAGAGGGAACACTGGTACTACTAAGCACAAGTGAAACAGGCCTAAATTGAGGAGGGGCAGTTTAGTAGCTGGGGGGGGGGCTTCCAAAGGTGGAAGAGGCCCCCTTCTCTCTGGTAGCTGCCTGCCTCATTTCAGAAGGTGTGTGCATGAAGAGAGGCACACACGTAAGCAATCCTTCAGTACGCCAAATAATGCGCGCGCACTCTGCGCTGTAACCCCACTTGGACCAGGTTTCACCCACAGAGAAACACACCCGTGCTGTTTAGCAATGAAAAACGTTGTGCAGATCCATTCACAGATTTCCTAGTAATTCGCCTAGCATGACCCGCAGCGTGTGCCGTAACCGCGCATCCCGCGGCTGCGCAGTTCTGCCGGAGATGAGCAGCGATGGGCAAATGGAGGGACGGACCTTCTCACAGAAGCACCCCTGACGGGTCGGGGACCCCCCCCACCCCGGGGTGCCTCCAGACACAGTTTTGGAGATCGCTGCCCTCGAGTTCTGAGATGCCGGTGGACGCTTCCTTCCCTATTTGTGGCTGTGTGTGTCCCGTCCCCCCCGCCCCTCTCCTGACCTGACGTCTT